CGGTCGAGTTCCGAGTCAATGTCCGGCGGTGCGTCGTAGTCAGCAGGTCCCGTTCTGAGGCAAAGTCAGACGGCGCGCGGTAGTTTTCTGTTTTGCTTGGCACCACAAACCCCTCGGCGATACCGACTTGGTAAGAATAAAAAATAACAATATATATGCATACATACATTTTTATGTACGTATTTATATATTTTTTTAAAATAAACAGATTGCTAGATGACAACTAAAACTGCGTCTCTATCTCAACCACACCCTCCCCTTCCAACTCACGTGACATGTGACGGACGACCTTGAGATCATCACAAGGAAACCCAGACAATGATTACGAGAGAAATGCATCTGGGGCAATGACAGAACATCATTTAGAAGTGGTGGAATGATGACTGTAGGTGCTAAGGAGCTAGTTACTATGAGAAACTGGCAGGGTGCTGGGGCCACCAACCTGGTCGCAAATACTTTGAGTGGACGTGGGGATTCCCCACTAAGTAAAGGAGAGCCCACCTAAATGTTTTACCTTGAGGAAACATCTCTCCATGACACCAGCAGCAGCAATCTCAACGTAACAAGTAGAAACAGAACAAAATAAAGAGAGCAATTCTACAAAAACATTTCTTTTGTATCTGACATTACGTCATTAAACAGTTTCACGAGACGCGGTTTTAGTGCACGCTGATTACTGAATTGACGGCAATTTCTGATTGAGGTCACAATGTTTATCAAGATCCCGGGACCCCTTCAACATGATTAATAAAACGTGCAACAAACAAAACTACGTTCTACCTCAATGATTCATACGCAAAGGAATCTTCACTTGCAGACGGCTCGAACACAAACATCCGGCAAAAGAGCTGTACCACTTAAAGTCCTCTCCCTTCCATTTCAGCGCGGATTCTCACAGTAGAAGTAAGTTCTAGAAATAAAAGGAGGGCAGACACGGATTTCGTATTGTATGCATTTCCTTCCTGATTTCTGCCCTCTAAAAAATAACTGAGGGTTTTCCTGGAGTGGGATATGGGAGCCTTAGATGAGAGGAAGGAGGGGGTTATGCAAAAACATATTTATGAGGGAGCAGCCAAGGTGGTCCACCAACACCAAACAGACATCACGTATTCAAAGCACTTGAGTCGAAAAAGAAAGAATCCAACCAAATTCTGGCACACCATCGCTACACCCACGAGGACCCTACACGTAAACAGTTATAAATTTGTTTGAAAAAGCTTTACTAATTAGTACACACCACCTCACATGTCTTCAAACATTCACTTTGAGTCTAAGTGAATATATAAAAATAAGTGTACATGACAATCTAAATACAGCCTTCTAAGCAGGATTTCGGGTTTTCTCACCTGCGAGTCCAAAGACGGAAATCTTGTTGGTTGTAGCACCATGTAGTCCGGCACAACTTTACAAACGCTCCACCATCGCCCTTATGCAAATTTTCATTTGTAAACGTAAAAGTAACGGATTTAAATCGATTGCCTACAGCAGTTTTTGTGACCTCTATGAGTGTTCCTTATCAAAGACTCTGAAATAGGTGAGAGTGCAGTAAACAAGTAGCTTTGGCATTTCCGTTGGTAAAAATGGTGTTGACTTTCAAAACGATAAGATACTTGCAAAAAACACCTTCCTTGTGCTCGGCGTTAAATACATCTTAACTTTTCCAGTCGTTTGCCGGACATGTTCAGTGCTACAATTTAAAAAATGTTATATGTATAACCTACCAGCCCGAACACTAACTTTGCTTAACTTCATCATACTCTGCGGCGCCCGCCAAGACTTTTTTGGGTGCCCGCGTTGTTACGGAAAGAGGTTATACTGAATAATGAAGGCCGTTCAACCACGAACATTATCTAATCAAAGCGCAGATCTCGACTTACTGACGTCCATCTTGACGATTGTTTGCGAGCAGCAACGTCATCCTACAGTCCCAAATTTGAAAAACTGGCCGATGAAATGCTGTGTTAAACATCGCACTTGAGTAATAATAATTGTACTTATAAAAGTACGTATTTTTGATCGCGTGGTTTCTTGTATCATTAAACGTCGTGTTGTTTTGTGTATTATTTGGTGTCCATATCTTGTCTAGAGAAATGAAAATTTGGCTTCGTTAATTGGTAGGTGCCTTCCACGATCTCATAAACTCTCAAATGTGCCCGTAGGCACAAAAAGGTTGGGGACCACTGCTCTGCAATAACTGTTGTACTATCCACATTGTTCACAGCATTTTAATACTAGAAAAAGTCTCTGCTTTGGACTTAATGCATACTTATCAAAGCAATGACCAACCAGCTTTAAGGCACACCCAGACTAGTTTCGTTGGTCTAAAATCATCGTTTTCCCATATAATAGCAGAGTTTTAGAAAATAGAACACCAATCACAATTTCCCATGGTGTGTTTAAAACTGACTTCCAGAGATACTTATGCACTGTGAATATTGTGTAATACAAATGGAAATTAACTTCCTTAAAAATGTGCCACGAATTGGATACAATACATATTACACTTCCAATTTCCCACTGCTTCAAATATTCTCTTCAAAGCTTAAAAGCACTCCACTGAACAAAATGACCTCAAAATTAGTGACTTTCTAAAGCACAAATATTTACCTGTAGCTATGAAGTTTTTGCTTTCATTGTGAACCAACTCCTTGTGGGGATTCATCATTCCCACGAGCGCATTAGGACGAAGACTGCCTTCGAAGACACTGCACCACGCGGTCTGACAGATGGCAAACTATCGGATTACACGGCACTACAACGCAGAAGACGGGCAGTCAGCTTCGTAATTGCTGCACTGAAGTAATCGACCATCAGGTTCCATAAAAGACACGAATATTTCTCAATCTCAGGTGTTCCAATTTTTAAGAAATCCCAGATGATTTTTAGTTACACTCCAAACGCTATTTTACTGTGACTGAATTTAAACTGAATAGTTTCTGTCAACATGCAAAATAATTTTTCCATCATTCTGTATATTGTTTACACTTCCACATGACTGAAACAGTGATTTCAAATAAATGTAATGACAACACAAAATTCCAGTTCAGACAGATGGACTCCACACCATCATACACCATTTTAATCAGGAGGGATGTACGCGATCAACGGAGTTATTTGTGAATGCAGTATACGACAGGACAGAAATTATTGTAACATTCTACATCAACCAGTACTAAAATATCCCTGAAAAATTCTCACATCCAAATTTAACTGTTCTGAACTGCTACGTAGTCGGCCGCTCGGAATATATCCATCTTTCGGTCTGTTTCCACGGTAACTTACAAGCAGACCTATTCCACTGTTGCAGAGTCCATGCACATGGGGGGAGTAGGGGATGGCAAATAGGAGGGGAAAAAGCCTCCTGCAACATTACCATGCGGATGGCTAGTTGTTAGATCTGAGGACGTGTTTAATTCACTAAACACATCCAGACCAGAGCATCAAAATGAGGGATCTTGTGATACTAGCTTAAACAGTGTAGATGAAGTTGGTAAAATTGGGTAATCCCCCAAAAATAGGCCACAATTTATAAAGTGCGCAATGGACAATGACGTTTACTTCCCCGTATTAAAGTGAGAATTTTCTTTCAGAATGACTTTCATGAAAAAGAAAAAATCTCTAAGAAACAAACCCGCAAACCAATGAAGTCAATGTAGGATTTGAGGTTTTCACGGCGGTGAGTAGGAAGACGGCCGTCTTCTGGGTTCTGGTAGAAGTTTACCGACATTTCAGACATCCGTAAACTTCTACCAGACTACGCGGCGCAACAACCCAGAAGACGGCCATCTTCAATAAAGTCAAATTTTTTATTGCCACTTCAAAATTTAAGCCATTTCAAATGACTTACAGGAAACATCGTCCGAACCATCTTTTTTGTCATCTTCATATCAGAAATTCTGTGACTACAGACTTCATTCACATTACACGATTATGAAGGACAACTTGCATTCTCTACGCTCCGATATGAAACGGGTTTCTGCAGTTACATTTTCCTTTAATTTTGCTACAAATGAAGAAACAATAGGACAAAAAATGTAATTGTCACAAAATGGCAACCAGTCACCTGATGTGCAAGAAGATCCACGTCCTGAAATGTCATGTGTGTCAACTTCAGGGTCTAACTCATCCTGTTTGTCCAAGACAGCTGAGGGCAAGCCACAATTTGCCACATCTCAGTAGCAGTCGGAGAAGGCAGCCTCGACTCAGTGGTAAGCTATCGCGCTGAGAATAACCTTTAGAAAGTGCAATAAGAACTCACCAGTTCTGCAGCGGATGCTGAAAACTTTGACCTCCTGACTGAATTCACGCAGTATAACTGTAGAATATGGCATTCTTGCCCGGAAATAGCTCTACTCTGAAGGCAGATGTTTCTTAGATTTCCAGAGAGCAGGGATTTGTTTTGTAACCTCATATTTCAAGTTTCCTTACCAATAAAGGCCACGATGCCTGCCACAGACCACGGCTAATTATGCAGTCACTGAAAACCTCCCCTGGTGCTTCCAAATTTATATATGCTGAATGATGTGTTACAAAATCCTGCTGGAAAACACATCATGTTTTTCGGAGCATCAACTACTGTCGTCTTACACAGCTGCAGTTTTAACGACGTGACGACATTACTGAAACGCCGTCTCCCGCACTATTCGTTTCAGAGACTTTCACAAGTCTAGCGCCGATGTCGTCCAATGACTCTTCTGTCAGCACAGTTCATTTCCTGACTTTTTGTCTAGCAATGATCCTGTTGTTTTCAGCTTAGTAACCAGGCAGAGTTGGAACTCATTGTCCTACAAACGCGGTGAAATTTCTGTAACAACTTTGCACTGAAGACACACAATGTTCAGTACTAGATGTCATTCACGTGTGATGACTCATGGCAGAAGAATGACATGCCACAGCCCTCTGACAAACAGGACATCAATAACATTTGCAGATTCCGGACTCACAGGATGTTCACAGAGGCAGAAGTCATTTTGAAATCAAAACACATAAAACAGATTAAATTTGTTACAACAAATCTTATTATCTTCCCCATAATTTTCAAGACACAAAGCGATGCTTACTGCAAAATAATGGTAATGTTTATAAACATTAAATTAGAAAAAATAGAAAGTCACACATCAGATATTAAAATAAGGTACGCTATAAATAGAATTGAGGTGGGAACTGTGAAAATAATTTCAATATTATGCACTCTCATGCAAAATATAATCAAGACAAAATATCACACTTTCAAATTATTATTTCTACATCCATATAAACCATTTTAACAAAACGTAAGTGAAAGCAGACGAATAAATTAATGATTATCGAAAGAACGAGCACTCGCCACGCACAGTCTTCTCGCCGTTACAAATACGCTTCATCAGCAACTCGTATTTCTTGTAACTTGGATGGTGAAGAATGTCTAACAACTTTGGTGGAAATGCAGACAGCACTGCCCCTACTCCAGTTCCATGTCAAACACTTTACTGTAACGTTTACCGAGATCTTTCACAAACTCATTTTTCAATATCTTCAGGCACCTTAAAAAACAGAATAACAAAAACTGTTATGCATACAAAACACATTTAGTTTTAATTCATCAATTTAAGATGCTGATTTATCGCTGTGCGCTTAATAAGGTCCTAGAAGAGTTGCGACGCCTGCATTAATGGAAGCAACCTGATTACTTGTTATCCTCTTAACTTTATATTAAGCATCCGAAGATAATATTAACCACAAACATCTGATATTGCTGAGAAAAGATGAAACAACCATACAATTGTAGTTCATACCTCATTAATTTGACCAATTAGATGGACATGAACCCACCCATTAACAAAAATTAAAAGCACCTTCACTTACTTCCTGTACTGCGATGAGCTCCTGAATTTTGCGATGTCAAAACTAGGAGCATGTGGCATGTGAACAATGAAACCATTTGGCAGGACAACGAACTCAAACCCTTGAGCTTCAAGTTCCATTATATGGGACACCTTATTCCAGCCAAAGCCAACGAATCGAGTGTCATATTCGGGAATATCTTTCCGTACGACGATGTACGGTTCGAAATCAGGTTCCCACTGAACCTAAACAAACCAGAAAGTAGCACTTCTTTTATTCCCCTTATTAGTGGCTAGGGCTTCTAAAATTTGTATAGGTGGGAAAGAAGCAATGTTTGATAAGAACCTTAACTTCCTGAAATTAAACATCTCTTATCTATACTATTTCAGACACAGAAAAATTAAAGCTAAAATATTCAGTTACCTCAATTATTCTGTTACTTAAAAATATCTGCTATAAAATTTCCGTCTTTTACTTGCACTCAGCCTTCAGACGTTACATTTAAATTCTCGAACCGGTACCATTTTGCCAATAATCTTGATCTCCCACAGGTTCTGGGGTTCATATCAACAGTTCAGAGAAACATCTCACCCTGATGATGGAGGCAGCAAGGACCTCTGAAACGTCGATAAACTTCTACCAGACTACACGGCGCAACAACCCAGAAGACGGCCGTCTTCAGACTCACCGCCGTGAAAACCTCAGATCCTACGTTAGCAAAAACTTTCTGAACAGGAACAAGAACACATTACCTTGTATGGCGTTGTGGCCGTCCTCCATTTACCATAGTTAGTAGGGGCATGACCCTTAGTCCACACGTGGTAGCGAAATGTGAAAAGTGTTCCCATGTCCAACATATTTAGAAGTTCTGCTTTACTTTTAGGAAAAATTATGCGGTAACGTTGCGTCTCAAATGCTGGAACCACTAATGCCTGCAAATATTAAAGGTAATAAACAGGAATATTATCATGAAAGTTAGTACCAACGTTGCTTTCAGGAAAGAAGGCATCAAAGTCCAAATTGCATTAGTACAAGATGACCAACACTGGCATCTTCACTACCTTCAAAATCTCATGTGGAACGCATAATATTTCCAAAGGTATCCTTTCACCACATCTGATGGATATGGTGAAAGGAAATTTGATCAAAAACAGGAAAAGAACCAACAAGTGGTTACAGCATCAGGCCAGTCAGGAGTCAAATGACGTGGGTTTGAATCCTGAGCAGGGGATACAATTTTAATTTGTACAAATGAACATACATGACGATGACGTTACAATGACTATAATATATGTACATTACTTAGAAATGTCACAACGTATTAATAAAAAATTCTGTCGTTATCCAAAACTATAGTTCGGGAAAAGCACGATCTTACTGGCTGAAAGACACGAGACACCTACAGGGTATTCTTTGATTTTGCTGGAGAGTAAAGAATGCCTAAGACATACAACTACAAAATTATACACAAAATTCATATTAAGTGGTGAAAGGACCAGCACTCAAAAACGGCAGGAAAATCAACTCCACTTATAATTACTCTCATATAACAAAACATAATCACCTACTTAAATGCTCTACAATCCTAAAATATAATATTTATTCCATAAAGATTGCAATCTCACTTTTAAGTTAATTCTTTAGGTTTACAACACACGACAGACACGAGTTTTTAAAATCTAACTTAAATGTTGCATCCTCTTGCGTGGCATATAAAATGATCCCGAACACAATTTTGTAAGCCAAAATGCACTGCTGCCACATTTATTATTCTGTAACCAAAGTTGCACAACTCTCGCTAATTTGATTAATAAAAAAACTACGTGAATTACTGCTGTCTCTCTGACTGTATAATACCTTACTGTGTTCTTTCAATGTTGGGTACACAATGAAAACTTACAGGATTGATCACGTCTGTCCATTTGTCAACTCAAGAACTGATGGGTAGATTTATATGAACATTTATTACATCCAAGATTTATTTAACAACACTCTCAGCAGCTCTAGTGCCAAATGTAAGTAAATCTGCCCCACTCTACGCCACGCAGGCGCTTGGGGGAGATGAGTATGGCTCCTACTCCTTCTTAACCTCAGCAGTAGACAGGGGAGAGTGGTCAGCATCACGCCCCATGCTTTAACCCCATGAAAGGACCCCAGTACCCACTGGAAAGAAGGTTGGGTGGGCCCCAGACGTGGAGGCCAGTAGAAAAAATCCTCTGCCCCCAACAGGGATCAAAACAGTCATCCAGTTAGTAGCAAGGCACTGACTGAGCTACCCTGGCTCACGAAATGTCAGGTAGGACCTGAAAAGACGTGGTTATGACCTAATTTAAGGTAATATCCCAGCATTTGCCTTGAAGGGACTATGGAAATTCAGACACAAAAAAAAATTAATCAGACAGACTTGTTTTGTCATAAAAAATATGAACCTTAAAGAATCTTAAAAACTTAAAAGAAAAATACAGTAGATCTGAAATTCTCTCTATCCACCAAAAATCAGTAACCAAAAAATGGCAACTGGTGAAAATTTAAACCCCAGTGCACGCGTCTTGCCACTTCAGACAGTTAAATAGACTACTGACACGAGGCATATTTATTTCGGACATTTTGGATGGTAAACCTCAGAGGAGACCTGTAACAAGTGTTAAAGTAAGAGAACTTGTTGGACGGCGATGTACCCACAGACTGCTCGTAGAACACGATAACAAATGCATTTCAGTAGCCAGACACAGAATACAGTACCTTTCTTGAGGCATCCAAATTGAGAATCTGTATGGACTTCTTGAGATATGAATACAGACCATACATTGGGAGGAAGTCAATATCAGTAAGGAAGACATACGGTGTGTTCACTTGCTGTAGACCCACGTTTCGGAGAAAATTCACAGGGTAAAAGCTCTGAAAAATAAACTTCACCTGAAAGATGCTGCTGTACTATTCTCACGTTTAATGAGACAAGGACCTTGAAAAGTTCATGACATTTCAAACAAATCACTAACAAGACTGGCATAAAATTCCACTTACGCCCTCTTTGTAAACCACGTGGTAGCCAATATTCTTTCTGCCGCCCAGGACTTCAGAGCCTAAGGCATAGCTGAGAAACTGCTGGGCTTCTGCATCTGACATATACAGAGTAAGGCTTATTGGTCCTGAAACGTGTTTGAGTGACAAAACAAGTAAAATCTGTGATACACAAGTGACAATTTCATGTTTGTCAACCCACAAATGAAAACTTCAAAGTCATCACACTTAATGAGGAAAACAGGAATGCATTACTACCAAACAGAGAGTGTGTCCATCATAGGACAGGCAATGGTCCACGGTGTTTGGGCATACGTAAACTAAGCAAACTTCTTAAAATAAGGTTTTACTATTACTTCATTCTTACTGCCCTCCAGAATCACATATCGAAATTCAAAACTACTCCGATGGTTTTACTAGTCTCTGTAACCGAGGACAAATCTGCAAGAATTAAAAAGACAAATTTTTACAAGATGTGTTACAACAAAATGTTCATACACATTCAAAAATTAAAATTTTTGTATAAAAATTACCTTCCCAATGTTTGCAAAGTGCCTCGACCATCTGTAACCTATCCATGGACAGCTGCGCAACCAGCGTGACATCATACCCATCGGCTGATGGCTCATACTCATAATCCAGAAAGTAGAGATGCGTTCGCAGACTGTTGACGTGAGCACGACGGAATTCGTAGCACGGGTCCTCTTCATTTAACTGCAACACATCATTTTATTGAGACTGAAGTAACAGTCAGGCTTTCCTTCAAGTCTCCGAGAATCACAGATTAAACCACTTGAAACATAAATTACTGATTTAAACACTGAACAAAATCTTCACTGAGTAAAGGAAAAATGAGTATAGAAATGAAACAATGAATCGTGCAGAACCTTTGCGGCCATAAAGCAAATGAGTGGTATGAAAACTCTGGACAGGATCTTCATTTATGTGCAGAGGAGCTTCCATGGAGTTAGAACTTTCAGAACCAAAAATGTGAACAGCTGCAAAATAAAATAAATGACTTTGAAACAAAGCATAAGTACAAATAAATTTAAGAAGGGCTACCAACCTACAAGAGACTTGGTAAATAAAGATGAGAATCATGACCTGTCTACAGATTCCCAGAAGAATTACTTTTGCCAGCCACGGAATGAAAATGGGATTAATGATCGAATAAATACATACAGCCGAACCATTAATATCTAAGCCTAGCTCTTCTGAAGCTGAGGTTCCCACTGGAAGTTGAACAAACATAAATCACCAGATATTCATCAAATTCCAGCAGAATGGATCCTAGCTGGAGATAAAGCGTAATATTCTGAGATCCTTGAACTTATTACTTCTGCTTCTGATAAGGGACAATTTCCAGATAATTTACTTCACCTATTTAAAAGGGTGATAAGCATAATTACAACAATTATCGAGGAATATCGCTGTTATCAACAACATACACAATTTTACTATATGTACGAACATTAAATTACAGGGTATCAACGGGCACTGGAAGAGAAAATGGCAGTGTGACAGAAGGCAGCTACAGTATGTCACAGAATGATGAAGATTAGAATTTGTTACACTTCATAAACAAAACAAATGACATAACTTGAGACACGTGCAGAAACACTTCAAGTTCACGCACGTCCAATGTGAGTGCCATGAGCAACGCAACAAATCTCTAGGCGCAACTGAGGCTCTGCTCTGACGTGATCCGCCATTTGCCGGTGGCTGGCCAAATCTGGCAGATGCAGCCTTTCATCGGAAAGTTTGTCTTACCAGCATCCGACATAACCAACTCCATAAAATGGGGTTTCTCCCAAAACTCTGGACTGTAGTCACAACTATTGAAATACAAAAAGAAATGTGATTTTACTTCTTTCACGTAGGTCAAAATGTAAACCTATGAAGGGTGAGGAGGATGGACCAAGTCGCATAATGAGGAGCACCATAATTTATATTCTTCGTAAGACATTAGGATGATGAAAGAGGCAGGGCATGTGACGAAGAAAAGTTCGCACAAAAGGTTGAAGGGAATAGACCGCTCATTAGACACAGGCATGTAATATCAAATGTTTCTAGGGGGCTGTTATCTGATCCATCTGGGACCAGTGGTAGGCTCTTGTGAAAACAATTTTGAACCTCTGGATGACATAAAAAACTGAGAATTTCTTAAGGACTCCGCCCCATTGCATTCATTTGTATACAAACATTCTGTAGAGGTAATTATAAGAGCAAAATGCTTGTTTACATAATTAATTACTTTCAGGTTGGCTTTTAATTTGAAGTGAGACTATGGATCACACAACACATTCACCACGCCAAGCACAATTCCTCCGTGTTTATATGAGATATATGTAGCACTAAAGAGGGAAGTTAAGACCAGTGCCACCAACTCTCACGAGCAAAGTCCCTAGCTCAGGCAGCGTCTACAAAAAAAGGCTCGTCGTCCTCATCACTCACCTTGCTAAGCTCTCTTTCCTTCAATGACACCTTCGTATTATTACACCCAAATAATTCTCTCCTCAACAAATTTCCATCATATTCCAGGAACGTCAGATATAAGTTGCGAAAGAATTCCACGTGTTTGTTTTTCACTTTCAGTTTCTTTGGAGAATTCCAATGTATAACCTGAAAAGTTTCACAATATTATTATTTTACACAGTAAAGTTTATGAACGATTTAACGTAATGCGCACACTTCCGTTTCACTATCCTACGCCGATATGTAACATCAGTTGCATTAGTATAGGCCTCGTCACCACATATTTTGGAATTCAGCACTTTACCTGCTGCCTGGATATTTTTAACACGATTCTGCCAACCCAAAAGTAATTTGATAAAGAATAAGACTAGTAATCTCAAAAATATATGCACATGCAGAAAAATTACTTTCATCAAGTACTAAACGGAATTAATGGCATGCGTACGGTTAATCCACTAGTACCTGAGCCCAGTTCTGATTAGACTGAAACTGCTACTCTGAAACGTGACGGTGTCTCAACTTCGAAGAAAGCAACCCAGTAATAATCACAGCTTTAATTTCGTGTTCAGACATGAAAGTGAGCATTTCTTACTCTGTGGTCAGCCATTATCAATCAGAGCCTCCGCAAAGAAACTTTACTGAAGAAACAATTACTTCTGGACACTGACAAAGAGAAAAAAGTTTCGAAGGTGAATGACTACCATCACAATCACAAAAACAGGAGAGCAACAGCTACAGTAAGAGCTTGTGGAACGTAGTGAGGCGACGCACGTACGAAATCCACCGTTTCTCCACGTTATTTTGGGCAGGAGTTGTCGAGTGCCCGTTGTCAACAGTATTTTACAAAACTCTTCTTCTCCACTCCGATTTCAGACCCGGATAAACATTTACCTTGAGATCTGTGACTTCGGTGTAACAGAGTTCACTCCGAGTGTTGTCACTCAGTTGGACGTTCCACTGACAGGGCAAGTTGTACACGAGATATGGGTGTTGCTTGATGATGGCATTGAAGATGTCCTGGTCGGCCAGGCTGGTCGCAAGCATGGTGATGAGGTCCTTCTCGGCGATGAGACGCCACAGCTGACCCCATCCCAATTCGCGCAGCCTCTGCAGCTGAAGAAGAATTACCCCCGTGTTGTACCTTAAACAAACACAGGAAACATTCTAACAGCACATCAATTAACAAACTAAATAATCACACATTCATAAAATGGCACATTTTCATTTTTCTCAACTTTAACTTTACTCATTTGTGCACGTAACAATAGCAAATAAAATACTAACCCCCTCCCTAGAGCAGGCCATGGTCGATGTTTCTTCCACAGTTTTCCCAAGTACCAGTCACTCTGGTTTTCAACAAGACCGATTGCCTAAGAAAATTGGAACATAAAAATCAAACTCCCAGATTTTTTACATCAAAAAATGTTGTAAACATCTTTATTCTCAATCTGTAACTCCAACATGATAATCAAAATACCTGTGATGGGGCGGGAGTTGTATGTTCTGATAACATTAAGAAAGGTGTTACAAATCTAGTAATAATGAACATTAAGGGGAAAAAAGGACCATACCTGTTTAGGACCTAACTTTGAGAAGATACTCCACAATTCCGCTATATCTGTGGCAAACGTGACATCCGTGTCCAGCACAATGGCTTTCCGAAGTGTGTCCGGCAACACTTTAGGAAGCGTAAGTTTCATCAGTCCATAAACACCAGAGTAGTGCTTGTTGGGAATCCACGACACGTCCGGCACTACGTTGTCTGCCAGATAGAAACTTACTTCCGCTGAAATGTCAATATTAAAAAAACATAAAATTCTGTATCTGTTCTTTCTTACTTCAATCGTGGCACAAACAAACAGACACTCTCTTCTTAGGGAGCTGCCTCTCGGGCTACACGTGACATTTAAGAAACAGCAGCTGGCTGCATTACCCACATCCTCTGATGTTTCGAGGATCCGCGTGTGGATTAAATAATACAACCTCACTTCTTTCAGCAGAAATAATTAAGGTTATATTAACAACTACGCCGATTATTTTAGAGTGACAGCTGCACTTCATGCTGTGGAAACTGTACTTCTGAAACCTAGTGAAAAATTTATTGTACAAATTGTTTAACAATTTTTATAGAAGTTGTCGCAAAATTACATTATTGCCAACAAAGCAGCCTTAAAGGCAGATGCTGTTCCAGTGGAACACAGACGAGCCTCTGAAAAGTTTCCTTCTCTGCCGATGGAAAGAATCACTCGGTTAACGGCAGACTTTACGTGCGTTATGTGCTTCGAGTATCTCAAGTGCAATTCCACGTGAAAAGAGAAAAAATGCAATTAGGAACTGCAGATCATTCAGCGGTCCACCCGATGAAAGGTTAAATGGTGAGCAAAACTTTATTTACACAAAGGGAAACGGGTGTGAGGATGAAATAAAATTTTTTGGAAAATTATGAACTGAATTAATGTATTCAGAATCATGCTCAAATACAAATAAACCGCATATTGTCCTACCAGCAAGTTCGCGTCTTTTCATTCGTGAGCAAAGTTGTAAAGACAATTTATACACAGCCCATATTTCCACGGGCAAGTCTGCTCAGACGTGCAAGTGGCACTTGAAATCATACCTTGTGGCACGCTCCAAGTGTAAAACAGTGTTTGGAGGATGACTTGAGCAACAGAGTCAGCAATGAGATGAAAGTGAAGCGGGTTCTTGCTATAAAAAAGTATCGATTTGATAAGCGTGACGACGGAGCGGCTTGAATTGTAACCGGCGCACACGATCGCTACATGCACCACTTCACACTTTGGCACATCCGCTTCCTGAAAAATAAATACAATATAACTTTTATTTTGGTTCAGTCTTCAATAAGAATACTACACTTCTAAATCTGTCCCATCATCGACTTCCTATTTATTTTTATGTGTGGAGTCTTCTGAACTGAGTACATGTCCATCGGGTGATAAGTTATTGTAGTTTGCAACCTAACCTAACCCACATTCTTAGATGTGTTGTGCCAAGTTTACCAACATTACAGAGGTCCTCGCTGCCTCCGCCACCACACGCAAGAAACTTTTATGTCAGTCAGTGTGGTATTTGTGATGAAGAAAGTGGCAAAGAGACACGTTCCTCTCCGAGCTCATCGCTTTCACCGACACTACCATGTATCACCTGGGTGATGAGCGATGGGACCCTAGAAACCGCAGTTCCGCTGCCCCCACGTAGATGAACTTAGAGACAATTACTACTAGCTCACCACATTAGGGCAATGCCCTGAATGGTCATGAGTAGGCTGTAAGAAGTTCTGTGTTGGTGTATTATTGCTGGTTCGCATAGCTGCAACTAGGTGACTCTGAGAGATGCTGAGTTGCCGACGTAAGAGCTGGTTCTGTTCTTCCATCTCGCGCACCCTCCCTGCCAGCCGTGCCTCCCGGCCTGTGAAACCCAGCATGTTGTTTCCATCCGCTGCAGGCAGCGAAACATTACAGTTGCAAATCCACCCTCAAAAATTAAATCAAAACACAGTCAACTACTACATAACGCAGCCAGTAACTGCATACTCACCATGACGATCTACTAGTGTGTAATAGAGCAATGCAGAAGCAATAACTGCTCCAAGAACAAAACTGCTCACCCAATGTCTCGCCACAGGGCATGGCAAAGCATGACGCTGTCTCCTACGAGCAATCCTGATTACTTTATTGTACTGTAACGGATGGCTGCTATTCTGTCAACTGAATACGAGTCACTTCTAGTTAAATGAGACGGGACCAAGAGCAAATGCTTCTTGCGTTGAGGTTAAGTTTTGTTACAGGTTATGTTATACAGCAGATATAGGCCTAAAGCTCAGTAACTGTTACCTTGAACAATAACATTAATATCACAAAACTTCGAGTTTTATTACTATATATTTTCTCTCACAGAGCATTTATGACATGATATTGCATTGCACTAAACAGCTCATTTATGTAACTCTGAAATTAACAACCGAAGGGCGGATCACAACGTAGAGCGAAGCAACAAGGTTCATATTTATTCAATCAGAATAAAACACTATCACAGCAAATTATCGATGGAATATATCACGATATTATTGTCGTAAGTACTTTAACAGACATAACAAAATACATGTTACAAATATCAAACCAGTGCTGGCCGCATTCCATTCACCACAGCCCAAGCAGCTGACACCTCTATTTGTGACGACGGGGAATAACTGCAAAATCGTTGGATTTCAGGTTTTAACAGCGGTTGGTGCGAAGATGTGTATGTTGGTTTCCAGTGCTTTGTAGTATGGTAGAAGTTTACCAATGTTTAAGAGGTCCTTGCGGCAGTGCACGGATTCTAACAAAGCGTGCTTTAACAATATGAAAACTGCTTCTGTGCAAATGTGTGGTAGAACGTTTGTTGGAAAAAAGAAAACTCATCATGATTTGTAAGCTCGGTCATTCAATGCGTATGCTTAAAATAGTTTATATGAACAAGGAGCGCAAATGTTCCTTACAAGAACAAAAAAAAATTAGAAATATTATCTTGAATTCGCCGCTGCTTGTTTAAGAGGCAAATAACTCCTACTTTATAAGAAGCTTTCTCACGAGCGTTGTCACATTTGTGGGAGGCCGTTCGCAGACCCCCCCCTCCGCAAAACTATAACAGGCGCTCAAGGGTCCGTTATCCATCATTTGAATTTATAGACAATCTTCTACTGAAACTTCTTCAGTTACCCTAACGCGTCTGAAAAGCGAGAATAAAAACAGAGGCTGAAAGGCAGGAAATGTCAGAATGACGCATTAATCACCAAATATGTTTACGATGTGAAATGTGTACACAATTGAAGGCGAGACCTAGGCATAAAAGTGTGGATAATATTAAAATGGAGGAAACAGTGAGTTTGTGAACTGGATTAACTAAGCACGGCAAAAACCCTTGTCCAATTTGGCAATAATAATTTCCCATGAAACTCGGGGCTGGTACTGCAACATCCTTTTTGATTTGAGCAGTCTAATTGTATTTGGCGAGTAGTTAACTTTGCAACCTTCTCCAGCCTCCTAATTCATCCCTCTTAGGTCCAAATATTCCCCTCACTATCCTGTTCTCAAACGCCCTTCCTTCGTGTCAAGAGACCAAATTTCACGCCCATACAAAACCACAGTCAAAGGTTCCCCCCCCCCTTTTTAGACATGAGACGAAAAGACGAAAGTTCTGAACTGAATTTAATTTGCTCATGAATCGAGATACCAATTTTGTTCGGTGTTTACTTCTAGACCAACCGCCTCACTAGCATCAATTTGAGCTTCTGTGGTTTTGCGTTATTCCCCTATAGATTTTAGAATTTTTCTACCTGCGCTGAATAAAATAAAATTATGTATAACGTACTATTACCTAGGTTGCTGCGCTCTGGTGGCAGTCGCGTAAACTCTATTCGTGCGAGTTGAGCCGGGAGGGTGTGGGGGGTGGGGGGGTTGTTGCTGAACGCAGTGCCAGGGCTGTGACAGACGGGGTTGGTTTGTTGTTGGTGCAACTCGGTCTTCTGTAGACATGCGTATTATTTTTACCAAACTTCGTATATGTGAAAAATGTCCCCCCCATAAAATACGTCTATAAATGACGGAAGATACCGGTGATTAATACGGAAATTTGACGAAGAAACCTGATTATTTTGCGAATTTAGAACGGTATCAGTTATGTGTGTGCATGCAACTCACTTACTTGCCGCTGTGGCACGCGCGTAAGTGATTCAAGTGATTGTGGTGGCAAGATGACGACGTGCCGTTCGTTTCGGAGTCCTCAAAGCGGGGTAATAATATCGCATGTCGGTGTGCGACGTTCTGCCAGATAAAATTAACCTTATTTTAAGACCCGATTTCACTGCACTAAAGTTTCGATTCAAACAACATTTCTTACGTGAAAAGTATTTCAGCGAGTTGGTTCCTGAATAAAGGCCTCATATCTACGTGTGACGAACACGTAAGTGAACTTGTAGCCGTCAGCAGTGCAGTTTACTTACGTTGATGTGTGTTTGAAAGGCAAGCTGTGAGAAACAATTATCACACAATCAGAGCAACGCCATCTAATTCTACGCTTACACGCCTTAAAGCAGAAATATGGAATCTGTTGAGGTGACTGGGATACTGTGCAAGATCATCAGTAGACATCGATGACTTTGGCAAATTATCTTGAACATACAAGTTGACTGTTTTCTTGTAGACACCGTAAGTTAACAATTTCATTATTTTCCGGGATGAAATTCGTGCAAGTTTATAAAGTGAGTTGTAGTTAAGAGTCAGGAGTGCTTAAAGCCCTCTTCCAGAGAAGGGTTTTTGCTTCGGAGATACATTCATTCCTCGAGCTTTATTGGAACACGAGGTGATGGTTGCGATGTGCAAAGTGTAGATTCCAAACTCTTTTCTTGAAATGAAAGGAAAGTAGGACGGAACTGATCGATGTCGTCATGACTTGATGCAGAGCTCAACTCGTCACTGCAGAGATTCTCTCCAGAAGCCACGACAGGTGAGTGAGTCTTGTACGTATCTTGTGGACGCCCCTTTCTTCAGAATACAACTAAACCTATCGCATGTTACGGAGATCAAACGCGTATCTACAGGAATTTTGACATATTTTAAACATAGACTTCACTGCTCTGTTCGCGGCACTGAAACAGTGGAAAAGACTGCATCCTCCTAAGAATCACTTTCGATAACGAACGAAGACCAAAATAGGTTACGGCGATTGTGAGTCAAAAGTGAACTGCACACTTTCTGCGAACAACGCGTTGTAGATCCATGAATACAGAGGAAAACAACAATTTGATTGTGGGTTAAAATAATCCGCGTTCCAGCAGAGTTACTCTCCGATTATGTACAGCGCACACGTGACGTGGCACCCGGAACGATTTCTTATTGCGAAATAAATAAAATTCATGCAGGGCACCGATGGACGAGTCGAATGCACTCGGAAAAGATTGCACCCTGGGGTTCTAAATGGTTCTACCCGTTCCCAACAGTTTTCATTCGTCATTAAATAAAAGAAACTTCAAAATGCATTTGTATCTGATCTGCTGTTTCGTTTGCTTATTGAGTGGGACAAAATGGTTTGAAGAGAGCTTTCTCCGTATAAAACTACTTAATACCTGCGATGTATGCAACATTTCTCGAAATCTATTAAACCTGTTCGTGAAACGGAACCTTCTTTTGTTAGTCGAACTGCAGGATCTGAGGTTTTCGCGCCGGTGGGTCCGAAGATGGCGGTCTGCTTCAGAAATCGTATGTTTTCAGTAGATATCATACGTAATACGAATAAGGTGGTCGAGGTGAAATGAGTTTGGCGACTGAAAATTCTGATATCTTACGTATTAATATTATTGTAATCGGTAGTAATTTTCTGTTCGGAAAAAAAAGAACTTGTTGAACACAGGCTTTGTCAACGTCACGTATTCGCACGGGCGCCATATTTTTAAGATGTTACAGAAATTATAGGCACTGACGTTTCGCAGTACCAAATTTCAAGCGCCCAGCCTCCGTGGTTCATTGGTTCTCACGTTGGTCCTCGGCCAGAACTCGGAACTTTGATGGTGTTGAATGTATTTAATTGGCTCAGAATACAATCTTGTTAATTCGTTAATGGTCGTTCGGTTCTACACAAGCGCGATATTCTGACGAGCTGAGTGACAATCAGCTTCTCTTGTATGACACGTACCTCGAAAACTTTTTTATAATGTTTCTACGAATTATTAATTACTTTTACAAAATTAATATCTGACTTCAAGAAAGGCCTATCTGCTTTTAATATCGTTTACCGGCAAAAAGCCAGCGCGCGTATTTTAAAGAGACAGGAATTCATTTGCTTCTGCAACGGAAACGCGAATCCGATGGTTTAGACAGTGAACTTGTCCAGCGTTGCAGATTTCTTCTTTAGTTTGAACAGGAGCATTGGAACACACGCGCGCCTCCATTCTAGGATCTGCTGCTTCATTATTTGTTGGTACACATACCAAGTGCATACCCCACGAACCAAAGAGACGCATGAGAGACCGAAACGAAGTCCAATGTGTGTGGTACGTTAGAAGCTGTCTCTCATGCAAGACACGGGGTGCCGTTTAACGTATCAAAACCGAGAGAGAGGGGATTGTGCGCAGAACCTTAGTTGCCTTGCGTAAGTTCTGCGAAATGGTGATCCGCACATTTGTTGCCTTTCTGGATTTTAAAGACGTTCAAATTCTGTTGTTTTCTCCGGCTGAGAAACAAAATCAGTGACGTCTGTAACGCCGACTGTAGCTGTTGAGATGAGCTCACAATTGTTTCGGCGCAGTGCAGGATGGAATAATTTTTACGCGAAGCGACACACAGAAACTTGATGACAGGAATCGACTGGCCGGCCAGTAACACGGCAATGTTAGTTACAGAAATATGGACGGAGCTGAAGACAAATCACAGACCAACTTGAAAACCTAGAGAAAACGTCAAAGGAAATAACGCCGTGGCACATTAAAGGATACAAAAGTCCAGTTCAGACTAAACACTCTAATGAAAAAATGTTTAAGCATCCACGAACATAACGGGACAGAGGATTTCGGACTTGACAATAACTGGACTTCGTAAAGAAATGACGAAGTTGCGAAGAAGTACGAAACACAAGAACAAAAAGAACTGGTGACAGGAACCTTCATGCCTCATGCCCGTACGAATGCCTCTTCTGTAAATTGAGCGCACACCAGACGTCTTTTAAGTTCCGTTGTTACACTAGCAGGCATTTGGCAGAAATTCGTAAATGAGTTGCGAATATTATGGATCGCTTCAAGACCTAGCGAGATATTACCAACGACTCTGTAAATTAAGACACGCATTTAATAGAAGTGATGTATTCAAAATAAAGTCACGTGAATGTTCACTAAACTTGAAAAAGTTCATAAAGTCCTGTTCAGCCATAAAACAGATTGCTCAATAAATAAACAGAAGCTGTGAGCTCGCCACTTGAATTATCCACAAGTCGGCAAATTCCCCTCTCTTTATAGGAAACCGAATATTCATTGCCTGTCACGCCCCAGCACAGAGTTTGTCGCATTTCCATTTCTTGTCAGGTTTGTGTGTGCGTCAACAAGGCGTGTCAGTCAGTGCAACTGGCGGCTGTCTCATTCAGCCAGAAAACTTAAAATGTTGCTTTGCAGAATCCCACTTTGATTTTCAAGTCACTTTCTCCTCATTCGTATCACGAAACAAGAGGTTGGCGAAACCAAAGAGTCTGCGTTCACTGTGATCGTGAAAATCTCAGAGAAAAGCGAGAGAGAGACGTGTAACATTTTACGCTGAGAATTATTTTTCTTTACACAGTTGACAATACAAGCAAGGTTATTTACAACCTGAGAATCCATACACCGATTTCTTCTCAAAAACCTCCAAA